GAATATTTCAGTGTTTACAGGATCAAGAGGAATTGAGGCTAAATTAAAAATGTCCTGCCATTTGTCATTTCAGGTAGCGGGTGTGGCTGATATAGAAATCTCATGATTTAGGCGGGTTGGCTGGGCCTTCCGTCGTTTTATGATACCATATCTAAGAAATGCCCTAATCATAAAATCACATAGCCCTTGTTACTTCTGCCAAGTCATAGTCTGAAGTTTTATAAAGTGTTATGAAGTGAGAATCTTGTCTAAATTCCGCCTGAGTTTAGCTTAATATTTCCACACTTAAATAGCTTCCATTCCTTACTTCATCTGATTTCACGATCGAAGTATGATAAAAGATTTCCTTAAAGGTGTCTGAATGGCACTTCCTCATTAAGATGCAAAGGCCAGGAAGAATATCCTAAAGTTTGTAACTGGTCAAAAAGGCCAAATAGCATGACCAAATTACAATTCTCCTCTTTGTTCGGCTGTAATTAGTGCATCGTCTGTCAAAGTTAACTCAATAGATCAAGATCAAGAGGGCGTGGCCATTATTTTGGTCGCTATCTCTTTTCTTTGTATAGAAGTGGTATGACCTCGTCGCAAATTGGTCTTGTCAAGGCGACCAAAATAAATGCACCTTATCCCCTGCCATAGTGGTCATGATAATTTCCAGCGTCAGACCGCGAATTTAATATACGACCAAGTTACGAAAATGAGGTCAAATCAACTTGAAACATTTAACTCCGAAAGTATTTTATTCGGTATGCGTTTAGGCCAGTTCAGGATCGAAGTGATCAATTGTTTTCGTATGCATTAAGCACGCAAACATTTATACTATGAAAAAACCTACTGATTTTTAGAGATAAGCAGGTCATTCGATGAAAGAAATTTAAATTCCATTCAAAAGAAAATGTTTGAATTATAGAAGTAGGCGACCATACCGAGGGTCATACCATCTTGGTCTTCATATCTGGCAGAATTATAATTAACCAAAAGAAGTCAAATCTAAATCCAATTTAAATAAAGATAAAACGAAAAAAATATTATTTTTAAAGGATATATGAGAAAACTTAAAAAACACTTCAAGTTTTACAGCAAAAGCAAAAAACTAGGTCAAATAGTGTCTTAAAAAGTCCAAAAGGCTCAAATTCTACCCAAGTAAAATAGCAAGATGAAATTAAGATCTAGACTACTTATTTGAATTCAAGAGGTTTGTAGTTTTAGCTACCTTATTTGTCCAAAGCAGGTTACTTAGACATTATTTACTAAAATTCACCCTCCCATTCCCTGAATCATCCAGTCTTTGGCGTTTTGTAATGAAAGATAGGTCCAGACCATAGGGTGCATAAAGATTAGCCGTTTCGGAAGTGTGTGCATAAGCAACAGATATAATATTAGGAAAAACTGATGGAAGAATGTGAGGAAATCAAACTTACTTAGAAGTCTCGTTGACGTGCTTTTGCCGTAAGCCATTAGCCAATTTGGCTAGGGCGTCAGCATAATCCTGTTCAACAACTGCTCGGCGTCTATAGAACTCCTGCAGTTCCAGGAGGACAGTGGAGTCGATGTCAAGCTTGGCGTCCAAACATTTAGCTTGCTCAGTGAATTGAGTTCGTAGGTCTATTCGAAGTCGAAGAGAATGGAAATAACAGAAATATATGGCGCGATAAAAGTAATTGTATATGATATATATAATAATTGAAAATCGTTTAGATGCTAAGGTACACTATTAGTCACAAGAAAATTAAATTTTTGTTAGATGAACTACTGGCAATGAGGCGAAGAGAAGGAATTACCCTGGTTATGAATTGCATATAGCTTATATTACAAGGGTCTTATTATCCGCGGCGAACTCAAACTTTTGTATAGACTACAAGAGAGGAGCGTACTTTGGGGACAAAATATAAGGGATATAATGATCAAAATTAGGCTTATAATAATAGAGGTAAAATAAAATATTATCGTGTCAGTTAAATTTTAGATATGAAGACCAAGATGTTATGACCTCTATTTTGTTCGTAGTCTCTTATAGCTGTATACAAGTGGTCTGATCTTGCGATCAAATTTGAAGGTCTGGTGAAGAAACTAATTAATCTTTTACGAATTTTAATGTCACATAACCATTTCAATACAGCGAAAGGAGACTGCGTCCCAAACAGAGGCCACAACATCTTGGTCTTCATAAACAGGATTAAAAATGCCAAATTTATAAGCAAATCTAATGAAAGGACTGAGTAAGATTAAGCTTTAAGAAATCTATTGAGCAAAATAAAGTACATGTTAATAGTAAGACAAATGGCAATCAAATAAAAGGCTACAACGTTATATTGAATAAACGAAGAGAAACTGAGTTTCGATGAAACTCCTGAGATAAAATTGTTGGGGGGACTTTCATTCCGTATGAAAGTGCATAAGAGATTCGTAGGTCGATCTCACCAGAAGATGGATGAATCCCGTTGAACTGCAGCCGTTTGGCTATTATACGATGTTCGGGTAGACGCATTCTACTAGACTTACACCCTCGTTTCGGGTGAAAACTGGCTAAGCTTTCTTCCATCATATGATGTACATCAAGCGCAAGCTCATTCCTGTAAAAGTTTCACGTTAACACTAGAGCAAGAAGACTATCCAGCTCTATCTTAAATAGATCTTACATATAATACCTATCGTATATAGACTCAATTATACCCAAATAAAATTAAAAACCTAGATAGATCGATATAAAGTGGTTTGGCTAATTATC